CGTGTCGCTTTATTGTTTTACCTTATTACCTCTTATTTCTTGCCTTACTGAGCCAATTAATTTACTTAAAACGATTATAACATTTTGTGGAGAGCAATAAAATTATGAAGTATTCAATTAGTTTTCAGAGAAACTCTATTCATAATCAGAAATGATTATGTAGTAGCTAGAGCTAAATAATGCTAAAGGGCATCGGCATTTAGTCGTCTTATTGCTCTGACCTTCGTAAAACCCGTCTACGCAAAACAACGTTAGCTTTGTTCCTATATGGGCGTGCAGTTACTGACCTTAAGTTGTGTTGCAAAAAATATCGACATTGTCGTATAGTTCTTGCCCCTGAGGTAGCTAGACAAGGAATTATTGACTTTAATGAAATTCGTATATTAATGAATATATCAAATAGCAATAGAATTCATTATAAAAGGGTTCGGCCCAGGGAAGTCCTGTCCTCTTTATTTATGGTTAAAAAAAGTGAAATACTCAAATCTCACATGATGAAAAGTACACTTTCGCTTGACAGGAATATTTGTCAAAGTTCAGAAAATAATATTATCACATGATCAATTTTTGAATAATGTTACAAGGAAAAAAATGTCAAATGTGAAATGTTAAATGTGTGAGAAAAAAATGTCCACGACCATTTATCATTTATCTATTGATCACATTTGACGATTGACACAATACGGAATTTTTACCTTTTTTTGAGCTACGATCAGCAGTATGTATATCAGAGTCCACTTAAGTTATTGGTTCGTCCAATATATTGTATTATGCGACGTTTGTTTGTCGAGGTTTGTATTTATATTAGACGTAACGTTTTTATAATATCAAGTGAAGAGACGAACAAGTCGTGCGCCTGATAGTAAGCAGCACGCCTATCCGTTGCAGTGTCACTCAGAGCTTACTTAGCTTAGGACACTGCCACTGCGTCCATCACCCTGAGACATAAGTTGACAAGTCCTATGTGCCTGTAATTTCACCAGTACCTTTACCCTTAAAAACCAGAACACAGTAACTTACTGACATTACTGCTTGGCGGCAGAAATAGGTAAGGTGGCAGTACTACCCCGGACGAACTCTTTCACAAGGAGCTCTACTGCTACTAAAAATTTTAAATTTCCAATGTGTATGTGTCCTATTCGTACATCGCGATAACCCGAGAAGATGTTATTGTATTTCAAATTGTAGCATTGTGACCTTAGAGCATATTGTAACATTGATACTAATGTGAAAAAAAAATGGTTCTACTCACAGAAATTAAGATTTCTGTGTTTCTATTCCTGTTATTTGACGCTTTGGTATATTAGATATAATCTACTTAGAATTAATAATTAATACTCTTCCCGGTTGATGCATTTATTCCGCATACAGCTTTTTACGTTGCATAATTCCATAAACGGTATGTTACTGATGGTTTTTTCCGCAAGTAAGGTCAAAGGCATGGGCTATTTACGGAAACGACATAAGGTTTGAAGTCCACGCCAATTATGAGTTGTCAGAATGGCTAATAGACCTGATCGCTGCGGAAATCTTCTAATTAATAGCGTGGCTTTCACTATCGTTACGAATTTTGACTATAAACACTTCCTCATTATGAACGATGTGGATTGCAATTTGTGTAACGCGAGCACCTTTGATGTAATGTATATAGTAGCAGTAGATCTCCTTGTGAAAGGCCAGGGGAGTACCTACTGTACCTATTTCTGCTCCAAACTGTAATATAAGCGTTACTGAGTTCAGATTTTAAAGGTGCTGGTGAAATTACAGGCACTTGGGACTTGTCAACTTATGTTTCTGGGTGACGGGCGCAGTGGAAGTGCCTCTCAGATCTTCGTGATTTAAAGCTCTGAGTATTTATGATTAGGTGTATGATTTGTTAGTCCCGTCATTTGGTATATAAAAAAATAAGGTCATACAAAAATCTTTAAAAACCAAAGGCAAAGATCTGCAACAGGCACAATAAAATTCTTAAGGTCCGCTAAATCGTTCCGTGGCTTAGTTAGCATAATGTCTGGTACGGTTTGCTGGAAGACGTTCGTTGGTTCGAATCCAGCCGGATCGATGGAGTTTTTTCTAAGTGTTCGATCTTTGTATTAATAATTATTATATATTTATATTTTTCTAATATTCAACAATGTTTAACAACCCGTTTTTTGTCGTCAGATCTGGCAAGATGCTGCAGCAGATTCTCAGGGACATGTGGGTCGACCCGGAAATCCTGGCAGAGCTCGACGAGACCCAGAAACAGACGCTTTTCTGCAAGATGCGAGAGGAGCAGGTAAATTGCCACTGAATATTAGTTTTCTTATTTAAAAGCTTTGTTTATTTGTTACACAATGTTGGCCGTTCCATCGTAACATAAACTTACATGAATTGGCGGAGTTCTTTTTAAGTAAATTATTTTGTCTTTTTATTTTAAATACGTAAAAGAAAGTCGTATCCTCGGTGCGGCATCCTCGGCAGTGGGTTAAAACCCAATGAACTCGCCCGGGTTTTAACCGGGTTTTTACCCAAAGTGGAAGGTTTTAATCAGACACGGGGAATATGGAATACGGAATAATTCCTTAGTTATTACAAATTTCGAGGTAAAAGATGTTTTTAGACGAAAAAGGGGCAACTCTACACGATACCCACCTTGCAATCCTGTGGATTCTCACTATTAAGGATGCACATTACGATTCGATTGTTACGAAAATCTGTTCAAGTGCATACGACCTAACGAGTGTTTGTATCGAATCAATGCGATTTTCATGCTTTTTCATGGCCTTTGACGCAGATTTCATCCGGTACTCAACCGGCCTCGAGTGAGTGCCACCGGGAGCACGTACAGCACAGTATTGTCCAGATAGGTACAAGAGCTGTTAGCTCGCTCACATACCGTTGTGTATTGCACAACATACAAAAATATCATTAAAAGCAGAGTTGTCGGCACGCACACCTCCCGACGCCGAAGTATCTCTCTAATTCTAAAAATTCCTAAGCTACTGGAGGGATCGGAAGATGTCTAGCTTATCTTACAGTACTGGAAATGCAGACACAGTGTCCAGCGAAACCCGAGCATGGCTTCCAACTTAAACTCGCGCATCTTTTCACATTGGGCTCGTCCAGTCCGCTCCTAAGACGCACTACGCGGGCGGGATAGACGCCCCAGTCACACATTATCGGGGCAGATGAACGAGTCCATCCGAAACTAACACTAAATCGTGACAAACATTTCAAACCATTCAGAAATCAAACTATTAAATCAAGGCCAATATAATTGGAATTATCTTGCTATAAGCTGACCTTGAGGTTACCAGTGCTGGTGGCAAGACGGCCTATTCATTGTCAAAGGACATTGTAGTACTTTGAAGGTTTTTTCATTGTTGTACCTTGTTATGGTAAAAACTTCCGTAGGTCTTTTTTTTTTAGTGGAAATATAGATGATGTTTTTCCGGAGTTTGTGTTACAAATCGCAAACTCAGTTACGTTTTTTGTTTCACGTTACATACTTAACTGTGATTATTGTTTATAAATAAATAATAATGTACTATGCCAGACAGTTACGCGAATTACCTGTCCAGGTAAGTGTTAAACCAGCGAAATTCCGGTACCATGAGTGTACCTCGGAATGCAAACCGTTGGGTCAGGTTTGCATCTTGAGCGTTGGATGGGAAATGAGAAATGGCATTTTGTAAATTGTTTCCAATCTTAGTGTTCTCGATAGTGCCTCATAGTAAATTCTGGTACTCATTGTAGAGGGAGTCTCCTAGCTGGAGACAGCGCCGGCGTTAGCCCATGTAATACCAGGTTGAAATCATTACCCTAGCGCTCTTTTGTAGGCACGCGTTGAAAATGGAATACTTACATCCTCGTTCTTTTCTACTTAAGTTTTGATGACAGCGACCCTCCCTACCGACCCTTAGGGTATACAAGAAGGGCACTATAACCTGTTCAAGCACAGGGACCGTTTAAGTTCAGGTCTTGACCTCGGATCAGCGAGTGCACAGGGTTGTCACTGACTTCATCCGGTTCTCAAGTGGTTAGTGCCTCGGGTGAGCCGCCCCGGGTGCACTTACATTATCTTCCCTATTTTCCAAATAGGTATCGGATCACCCACACCTCCCGACGTCGAAGCGTCTCTCTAGTTCCCAGAAACCTACGCGTTGGAGGGACCAGATGAATGTCTAGCGCATCCTCTACTAGCTCTCCGGGCCAGTACTGGAGATGTCGGTAGCAGTGTGACAATGTCCAAACATAGCTTTCGACTTAAAGGGCAGCTCACACCACCTAGTAGACGAACTTACGAACGAAAAACTTGCATAGCTCGCCATCTTTGCTTAATCGAACTCAAAGTTGTATAAATCTCAGCCTAAGCGCCCAGTACACGTGACCGCGATGAAATTCGTGTCGAAGAAGCCCTAAGCGTGGGTCGCTCACTGTGCGCCATTGATATCTAAAGCCGGCACTGGTTTGAGACCTGGTAAATGACGTTGTTGTCTGGCAAATTATTATTATTGTTTAAATAAACCTTTGATGTTTATGAAATTATTTCACTAAACGTAAGGTTGTTTTGCGTTAGGTCACATTGATTACGATTTTACGATCCATTATTGAACACCTGCGGTGTTTGCGGCAATAACTATAGTAAACATAAGCACTATAACTGGCTATACCAATTAAATACCTTTTGAAAGCATTACGATGGTTAAAGGTAATAAAGCAAAAGTAACGTTCTGCGCAATTTTTTTATTGCGTATTTCGATTTAGCGCCTTGATTTCTTTTATGACATCATGCAATGGAACGGACAAGTCGTGCGCCTGGTGGTAAGCGACACGTCTAACCATGATTGCAATGCCACTCAGAACTTTAAATAATAATAATAATAACGCTCACACACTCAAAATAGCCCCGCACTAGGAAACCCTGTGTCGTGGGTGCCATGGACACATACATAGACAACCACTAAGTACACAGAAACTCACGAGGGAAATAAATGTAGGCCATACAAATATTTCTCCCGGCCCGGATATCGAACCTGGGACCTCTTCGTGGCAGTTCGGCATGGTAACCGTTCGGCCACGGAGGCAGTTAAATCGCAAAGATCTGAGGGGCACTGCCACTGCGCCCGTCACCCCGAGACATAAGTTGACAAGTCCCATGTGCCTGTAATTTCACCAGCACCCTTACCTTTCAAAACCGGAACGCAGTAATGCTGACATTACTGCTTGACGGCAGAAATAGGTAAGGTGGCAGTACTTCCCTGGACCAACTCTTTCACAAGGAGCTCTACTGTTACTTCTTCGTTGTTAATTCGACTGTATTTCTTTACTTTTTGCATGTATGTTACGCGATAACTCGCGATTCGTGAACAGATTTCTTTTTTTGTTGAAAAGAGGATACCTCACTGCCACTGCGCCCGTTACCTTGAGACATAAGTTGTCAAGTCACATGAGACTTGACAATTTATGTACCTGTAATTTCACCAACAACAAGTATTTTGTTAATTTTAGTCCTTTCAATACATTAAAAAGTTCCCCTGTAAAGGTGTGACTTTGGACTTACGATTCTTTACGTACGAGGATCCTATTCTATATCCTTCTTCATTCTTCATTTTTTTATATCAACGCCTCACTAGCTCAGGAATAAGTCAAGGATTGTTAGCTTCATTCCTGCTTTTCCGCTACAAATCGCATTTGCTGATAATTCTTTATTTTGAAGATTTCCAATCTCTGTCAACTTTTGCGTCACTCGTACTAATCCAAATTGACCCAATTCATTCTGATAAAGAGATATGAACTGAATACAATCGCATTAAAGATATAATCATTATTTTTAACCGACTTTAAAATTTTTTTGTATGTATATTACGCGATAACTCATTTATGAACCGACTTGGATAATTCTATTTTTGTTGGAAAGAGGGCACCTCAGTAGTGGTTTCATTTAAATTTGAAGAAAATATGCCTCTTAGGGTGGCAAACTAAGCGCTGAATCTGTTTTTACTTACTTCCGGTAACCGAATGCAATAAAACTTGGCAAATAGATGTAAATCCACAAACTTTTCAGGTTGATTTTTTAATACTCTGTACCGAGATTATGCAAGAATATGACATAAATTTGTACACAAGTTTTTTATCTTTCCCTTGCGAGCTGACTGTTGCTTAATGCTCTATTGACATCAATGTTCATTTTATTAGTTGCAGAAAAAATCCACAACGCAGCAAGGGTCAAACTAAAATGGAAAACTATACTTTTACGTTTATAACCTCCATCTGTGTAACTAAGACAGGTAAATGACATAAACGTTGCATCACTGTCTGCAGATTTCTAAACATGCAATGATGGCAGATTTTCTTGTCTACCAAGGTCATTTCTTTCTCATTATGAGAACAATTTTATGGGTTTTGTTCATCATCATCAACTCTTTTATACGTCCCACTGGTAGCGATGGTTTAGGCATATCATAGATTTCTCATACATAGCGCTACGGCTAAAAAGGCGTTGAAAAACCAAATACAAAGATAGACGAGTTCGTGAGGTCCGTTGGTTCGTTCCGTGGCTTAGTTGGTATAGCGTCTGGCACGGTATGCTAGAAGGCGTCGGTTCGAGTCAGGCCGAATAGAAGGAATTTTTTCTGAGCGTTCGATCTTTGTATCAATAATTATAACAAACTAGAGGAGTAATTTCCCATAAAAATAATTGAACATCAATTCAACAAAAATTTAAACTTTAATATAGTCAAAACTAGATATCCTAGGAATACAAGGAATAAAGTAGAAATATAGCCAAACAACGCTCCAAATTGGAATTTTACAGTAGAACGATGTTCGTATTAGCACCGAAATTATTTAATAAATTGCCGGATGCTCTTTAAGAATTAAATTGTAGACAATTTAAAATGAAATTGCATAATTTGTTACTTACTCTTCTTTATTTACTCTTGCTACTACAATATTAATGATTTTTTACTAGATAACATAAAATATAAAATTTGACTATTGTATGTTATATTTTTCACTTCTTATTTTCTGGTTAAATTCCAATTGTTGTAGTTTGTTTATGCTGTTGTTTTAATTTGAAAATTTTGAAATAGGTAGGAGAGTGCAGCTAGGTTGGGCAGTATTTGGGAAACTGCGTCATGTCTTCTCGTCACCACTCCCGCAGTGTCTGAAGACCAGGGTTTACAACCAAACCAACCTTTACAACCGGTCATGACTTACGGAGCCGAGACGTGGAAAGTGACGGTGAAACTGGCTCACAGACTACACGTCGCTTAGCGAGCTACGGAAAGCTGG